CGTCAGAGAAATTCCATGCCTGCTTCCCAGCAAGCTGACAGCCTTCTGCGGAGGAGCTATCGGTGCCAGGCCCGGCAGGGGTCTGGGAACCTGGGCGGTGCCGTGGTCCGGCCACCTTCAGAGCCTCACTTGCCACCACCTCTGACCCGCGTGCGCCCTGGAAGGTCTGCACTAACTGCTCAGCTCTGCCTTCGACTCTGAGCATTCCTCAAGCGCGGCCACTGTGAATTCTCTGATACGAACGTCGGTTAATCATTTACCGAGCGTGAATCCAGTTTTTCCCAAGACTCTCCCCTTCTGGGTGTCCGATTTCGCAGGCACCCCCTCCCCGCGGCCTCCCCCGCATCCAGCATTTGAAATTGTCCCTCTTCTGCCTCCCCGGTGGGGAATTGTTCGCAGCAGTTTAAAAGGCTGCAGAAACATGAGAGCGGGTAAGAACCCAATGCTTTTGTGTACACACGAAAAATCCCCGCCACTGCCCCAGAGTGGCTCAGCCGAGGCTGGCGGGGAGGGGCCTAGCCCAGGGCGCAGTGTGTGCGATGGTAACCCCATGATGGCTACCACTGAGGTGCGGGAACCAGAGACCCCAAGCTGCAGAGGTGCAAAGCTGAGTGCCTTCAGGGGGCCCCCGTCTAGGCCCAGTGGCCTTAAAGGGTTTTTTCAGATGGTGCCAGGAGTGAGCATGGCAGTGTCTGTCCTGCCGGCCCATGTTTCCCCCTGCCTGTGCTGTCCAGGGTAGCACACTGAGGGGCAGGCTGGCACCGTCCGTGGGCTCTGCCCGCACTGTCCGTGGGCTCTGCTGGCTGGGTGTGCCTCTCGTTGGCCTGTCTTGTGCCTGCTTTGCTTGGAGCCCTGGGTGTCCAGGCCTGGCTGGTTATGACCTCAGTGTCTCCTGAAGTGTGGGCCAGGATGTATGGCTTATCTTCAGGGTGGGGGCCTCATGGTGATGGGGGTACTGTGGGCTCAGCCAGGCTCCAGGGGGGCAGAAGCCAGGGACTCTGGGGCCCACATCCCGCTGGCTTCCACCTGTGCCCCTCACCTTCTATCACAGAAATTGAGGACAAAAATCACAGATTGCCACTTGGGCCCGATGGTGCAGTGGTTAAGTGCTCGGATGCTAACTGAAAAGTCAGCAGTTCGAACCCACCAGCGGCTCCACAGGAGAAAGACCTGACAGTCTGCTCCGAGAAGGATTACAGCCTTGGAAACTCCATGGGGCAGTTCTCTATCCTGTAGGATCTGGATGAGTCAGAATCGACTTGGCAGCTGTGGGTTGGTAATGCCCACGCTGTCTTTAGCTTTTGTAAAAATGTATGGCAAACATTAAGAATCAATCTTAAAAAAATTGGGGGGCCGTTTGTTTTGTTCTTCACCCTTTGTTCCTCTGCACCCAGCTGCCCAGCAGAACCACGGGGCACCTCCTCATTGGCGCGTGAGTCTCCACATGGGCGCTCTCGCTAACACCCGGAGGGGGTGGACCTGCTGAGTCAGCCCTACCGCCGCTGCTCCGGGTTGTTCCTACTGCCTTTCTGTGCTCCGTGCTCACCAGGTGGCAGAAGACGAGCCCTCTGCCCTGGGTCAGACAAACAGGACCTGAGCCCAGATCTGCTACACTGGGGGGAGCTTGGTGTCCACGCTGCATCTCAGCTGCAGCCGCCTGGGTAACTCTGTGCACGCCCTCTGCGCCTCGTTGAGAATGGGGACCTTCTAAGCACGTTTCATCAGCCTAGGGGAGGCCGGGTCATGCGGTTTGTCTCCATTTTACAGGTGAAGTGGGGAAGGATCTTCCCGAAGATTAGCCAGGTAGAGAGTGGACAGGTGGGTCGGAAGGTGCAGGCTTCCAACACCTTTCTAGGCGTCTTGTTTTTTTTTTGTTGTTAAATTAAGGTGGAATTTACATAACATAAAATTAACCATTTTAAAATGAGTGATTCGTGGCATTTAGTACATTTACGATGTGCAGCCATCCCTGCCTCTCTAGTTTCAAAACATTTTCATCACCTCAAATAACACCATGTGTCCATTAAGCAGTCACTCCCCCCACTCCCA